AAAAATAAGTTTTTTTCAAGACTTTTGATGTCTATACAATGAGTCTCTTCGTTATCTGTTTACATTCTCTGAGAACGACTTCGTCCATTGGTATATACTCGTGCTTACTGAGCGCGTTCCAACTCGTTTTTTAATACCGTAGAGCAGATTCGATCAGATGAACTTGTATTTTCGAAGCACAGAATATACAATTATACTATATTTACGTATATCTGACATTGTTGAATTTTCTACGTATTCAACAAAACTTTGTTAACCACAAAAATGTTACTACGAGTAAAAGCTAGGGATGTCATTTTCCTGTTACTTTAAAATAAATACAAATAATTTCTTTTTTGATAATTTGCATTTAAAAATAAATTTGAATGATAACCATTTATATTTAAAAATAAAAATTATTTCTAACTAAATTTATTTATCATTTAAATCATCACATAATTAATTTATTTTACATAAAAATATTTTTTTTCATATCTATCTTAAATATAAATATTTTCTAGAATCTATATATAAAAATGTGAATTATGAAAAAAATTATTTTTTATTCAATAAATTCGTAAATTAAAATATAAGAATAAATTGACATCCCTAAGTCATTGCCATGGCACTTATACAATTAATTTCAAAAAGAAACAAATAAAAAAGAATAATTTAAGGGTGGGTGTGGATGATAGACGAGTGACTTTCACTCCCAAATCACACCCCACACCCACACCTACCCTTTTTCAAACGTAATCGGAACCAAATCAAATCTAATTGAACTTATGTGATTCGTTTTGGTCTCTGATTCTTAATACAAAATAAAACAGATGAGTTATTTATAAATTTTTATGGATAAAAAAAATTAATAAAACGTATTGTGAACTGAGAATTTATATGAAAGAGAAGAGAAAAGAAAAAGTTGAGAATAATCTTCTTTGTTAAATGATTACACGAATGTTCTTGAAAATATTCTTAAATTAGTTGGGATGATTGAAAGAAGCTGCCTATATATAACGATCGAAAAGTAATCTTCGTTTGTATGAGTATTAAGCAATAAATATTTCTGTTGAAATTAATCAAAGCTTTATGACAGAAATCAATCATTGTAATAGATTACGTAATTTAATAAGATACAGTTCGACTGAACAAGAAGAGATTAACAAGTTCATTTTTTGTTGATCTAATCTAATAAACCAATTATTAATGGGTCAGAAAATTGTCTTCTAGCATATTATAAAATTTTAGAAATATTTTTGTTTTGGTGAAAATATCTGCAAATCCGTAGTTAGTTTCGACCAATTACAAATCTCAAAATAATCGACAATTTATGACGATACATCTGCGTTACTCACAAAATCGGCTGTTTTTTTTTTGTTGAAATCGCAATTAATCATTAACTTTTATGAACATCGCGATAAATCATCAAAACTTAGGTGATTTTGATGACATGAGAATAGCTTAGATTTAATAGAAAACAATACTATAACGTTCGCCTAATGGCACTATCCTATTAATCTCTCATGAACAATTGTACATCGAAAGATAGAGTGAAAGACATATTCTTAGGAAAAAAAAATGAGCGCTTTTCGAAATCTAAGCAAAATTGATATTTGTCAAGTTTAGTATTGTTATTTTTCTTTCATGAATGTTTTTTTTGACAAATGTTAATCATTTCTTTTAGTATGTTCAAGCAAGTTTTTAATCATAAATCAATGTAATAGATAATTATAGAAAATACATTCTTAATTTTTACATCTCGTGTCATAAGTAAAGAAAATGTAAGTGGTGTAAAATCATTCTATCATCTACGTATATAATCAAAGAATAAATTACATTTATTATAATGAAAAAATTATACAAAACAAAATTTCGAATTTTTAGTATATAATATTTTCTTTTTTGTTCGTTGAGACAATTCTCATTGATCTTTATTTGTTATGAAATTATCTTCTTAATGTTAAATGAACTAAGAAGGTGATTCTTTTCTAAAAAGTTTATTTGCTGATTGAAGTAAAATTTCAACACGATTTTTCATGTTAATATATTTGAAAATAGACCATCGACAACTAATTAGTCAAGATCAGATATATGTCATTTTTTACTAATGTATGTCAATAAAATAAATCATTAAAGAGATTATTATCTTATGGGAGCTAATAAAAAAAGCCATCTGCATGTTGTCTTCCTCTTTTCACACACAACAGGTATGTGTCCTTCAACTCTATATAATACAGAAATGTATATTAAAGTCACATTAAGTATAAATGTCTTTAGAGTACGAAATATTAATGAAGAAATAAATCATTGATAAATTTTGACAGGTAACAAATAAATGAAAGTTATGTTCTTACATAATATTCTGCCCGATGTTTTCTTTTTTATCAAGCGTTGCAATGAATACGAGTATGAATATGATTGAAAAGCCTTCTGAAAAGGACCATGTTATTTTCTTGCAAGTCTATGCACGGTTTTGATCGATAAATAATTCTTAGAATCAATCAATTGATAAAGATGATATCGATATTATATTAATACATTGTCAATCACTTCTTGTACATACTTGCACATCAATAATGTTCATTGTTCGTGGAGACAAAATGAAAAAAAAATGAAGCAAGACGTTTTCTTCAGTACGTGAACGATATTGTTTTCAATTAAAAATATATTATTTTTTCGCATGTTATCACTTATTTTCATATTTCTATGTCAAACGGAGTATTATCAACAATCAACAGAACTATAAGAAATTTATTCAACTTTGCTAAAATTTGTATGAAAAAATTTTTAAAGATGAAATAAAGAAACTTGGTGTTTATTTAGTATTTAATCATTTTTCTATTGATTTTCGAGGTTATCCTACACATTCCTCCTATACGATTCAGTTATTACAATTTTTTGATTAGAATATGATACATCTTGCAGGAAAAGCTTGAAGAACATCAGCGTTGGAGATTCTTTTTTTTGTAATGAAAAATTTACAAGAAAATATATTCAACTATCAAACGATATTCAATCCTATATGTTGATTATGAGTAGGTTTTGATGAGATTGAAACAAGAATGTAAGTGTTACTCGTCTCATTACCCATACCCAATTCACATCATTTTCTGATAATATAAATTGCATCACTTTCGATAATGATTCTTGCCAAAAACGAAGATACAATAATTTCAATAGTTCTCTAAGAAAAGTTGACTTTCAAATATATTCAGTCACAAATTTTTAATGTGATCAAAATATTCATGATGTTACATACATATGTTCACACTTAATTCATGATAAGATGTGGATGTTCATATGAGTTATGTTGGTTTTAAACATTGTTAGTTTATTACTAGTAATTTCTCTTAAGAGTTATTATACTATACAGATAGACAAGAAGTTATGATATAATTCTTTAATTGAATAAGCACTTCAAATCATTGAAGTTTATTTCAAATAGAAATACAATTATCGTCATTAATAAACTTATATATCTTAAGAATATATTGATATTTATGAACAACAAGAAAGGAATACAACTGATAAATATCAACATACTCATCGTATTTGTATTAGACAGAAAATATTTTTGTTTTTTCAAACCTTATAAAGTCTCATACATTTTTAAAAGTCTTTCTTTTCTTCTATATTCTAACAACAAAACATGATTCTATCTAATTTATATTACGTTTGTTGAAGAACATCTAATTGAAATTAAATGATGAAAAAAAAATAACATATTTTATGTTGTCTTGATCAAAATTTCGAATTTGTAGTTCCCATGATTACCAAAGAACTTTCTCAAAATGTCAATCAGATTCGATTTTTCTTAAATAATGATTTATTTATAATGAAAAACAACGAATTAATGTAACGTTGCCATTCATTTGATACGAAATCTGAAAAGTTCTTATAAACTGATAGAGATAATATGAGTAGATGAAATAATCGAAGAAATGAATTGATGATTCTAATGTAACAAAACTACTAAAACTAAATATAATGAAATCAATTAATATCAAAATTTTCATCAAATGATTTATAATTAGGATGTGGGTGGATGTGTGTGTCTCGTTGACCCCGAACCCACATCCACATTCACACCCATAACCTTCATTACGATAGTAACAGTGACTGGATATCTAGTGCAGTGCTTTTTACTTCTTTTTACTTGAAAACAGTGGCTAAATGCCTACTAGAGTTGCTTTTCCAGTATTGATCATTTATATAAACGTTATTTGATGGAATATTTTTGCTAGAACAGAATTTCTGTCCGAAAAATCAGCAGTTGATCAGCAAAGTAAATTTTTCTCTATAAAAAAAAATTAAATGAATAAAAAAATGAAACCGTGTAATATAACGGCTAAAAATCAGATTAAAACTGATTTTCTCGAAGAAACTCACAAAAAATCGATTACTAGGCATGTATTGAGCTTGAATCTCTCGATTTTCGGTGGCTTTGGTCTTGGTCTCAATCATAGGCAGTTCCTTTATTAGTGTTAGATTTAAGGTCTGGAATTCCATGTGGATATCAGAATGGTCTCTCATGAATTTCCTTCCAAAGAATTCCATTTATCCATTGTTTTTCAGCTATCCATTTAATCAGATTTTACATACGATTTTTTCAGCTCTAACCTATCTTGAGATTAGGCATGTGATATGAGCAATATCATCAATACTAATACCATTCAGTGTTCACAGTATTGCTTTAGTCAGGATATACTTTTTTTGAGAAAACAACGATATTTTATAAAACTTGAGTAAAGATCTTCAAGGTTAGGAACTCAATGAGACCTTCATTTTTCGAAAATTTTCAAAAACGGATGTACCCAATCGATTCTTCCACTTCGAAAGTCTTTAGTCACATTTTATAAGGGAAACTTTAATACTTGTTTGTGCTGAAAGCACTGAATTAATTAAATTTACTAAAGATGGCATCTGACTAGAGACGCATCATAGCAGACATACGACGGAAGTCGATAGTTCCATAGATCAAAGATATCGTTTGGATTGTTTCTGTAAAGAAATGTAACATGTCAAAACAAAACGAGAACTCCCGGAAATTGAAACAGTTCAGGACAATGATGTGTTATATTCAATTTTGTTTTACAATCTTCAATATCAGTAAGACAAACCATGGTATCACGACATATAGTAGATATATCCGATGTTGATTGAATTATCGCTATTTTCAATAGTAAATCTCTTTTATTGACACATTTAGTTGTATAAGTATTGTATGAACCATCACCACAAATCACATCTACATCTTCCAATGCAGTTCGTGGTCGCCATATTAAATCTTCGCAACGAAATGACGGATCATAAGCACAAAAATGAGTATGACTCAACATAATAGTTTCATCTGTACCATCTAAACAGTCATGATTAAGTAGATTATCCCATCATAATTCTTCTGAAATACATTGACCGTTATGGCATCGATATTCATGATCGTTACATTCATTAATTTCAAATTGACCACAATTTTGTTCATCGATTCCTCCATCGATACAATCGACTTTACCATCACAGAATTCTCGTCAATCGAGACATGACGGAAATGGTCCCCCTCGATTACATTTCAAGTACACATAACACGAAAGATTGCTAAAAATTGTAAGTAGTTCAATCATTACAGTATAGTAACATTTTTTTTTGTTGAAAAGTACTTCTAATTATGTCAGAAAATGACGAAGAGTTGTTCTTAAAATAAAATGAATATTAACAAAAAGGATCAAACCACCCCGACGTACAATTGTAAAATATTCCATGACATAATGAATCATTCTCATTTAAATAGATTTCGTATTGTTCTGCAAGATCAATGGGCGCTGACCAAGAATACAATGGATTACTAGTCACATTCATCATTCGTAGTTGTTCAAATGTAAAATTCTTATTCAATGCATTGAAAGAATGCTGTATATCATATTGAAATTTTTTCGATGGTCGAAAACAGTAGAGAATGATTTGATGAGCAAACGGATGAATTTTTAGATCATCATCACTGATATTAGATCTTATTTCGTACGGAATTATGTCACCTTTAACGTAATAATGCAAACAATCATACATTGACTGTTCAAAATCTTCTGTTGAATGATCATTTTTCATATAATATACGTTAAATTGTTGAAATGAAGCTAATCGAATTATTAACAGCAATAATAAATTGAACAACATTAGTCGAGATCCAACGCTTACTACGTTGTTTATGAATATTTGAACGCTGCCTATATATAAATTATAGTGTAGCAAAAAATATTCATCAATCATTAAATGCATAAAACAATATAGCGCTTTGTCCTAATTTAGTTGAGCATGATTAACATCCAAAGTCAGATATCATGACTAGTGTCCGGCGTAACTGCCGTGACCACCAATGAGTCACGGTCACGGCTGTGACCGTGACCGTGACTGAAGCTTGGTCACAGTCAGTCACAGGAACTTTTTCCGAAATTTTGGAAACCCCTGAGGAAGAGTAGGAGGCCTTCGCAAAGCTATCCATCACTCCTTCCGATCATCGGTTTTTATGAAAAATTGGGAAGTTTGTAGTATTCGTGATTTTGGAAGTCCCTCTAGAGGAACTTTCGCTGGGCTGCGATTCGACCTATATTTCCTATAATTCTTATATTTTTGAAAAAGTCCTATTTTTGTCCTATGTTTCAATAAAAACTCTTATTTTTCCTATACCTTATCGAAAAAAGGAGAAAATTTTCGAAAAATTATAAGTTTTGCTTTTATTCTATTATAGTGTTCAGACGTTGGACAACATATATAGTGTGTGGTCACATGTTTTGAACAAATTCCGACATTATGATGACATTTTTAAATAGTGTTGTTCAGTACTGAATGCGCTAGTGGTTTTTAGCTTTAAAGATTGGTTTTAACTGATATTCGCCTTTTATGTTCCATCAGCATAAGCTTTCCAATTGACACTGTTTTTCGAAAATTGATTAAGAAACACATGAAACAATGAAAATTTATCTTTAGAATTTGGAAAATTAGACTTATATTGTATTCAGTTAGTGGCACTTAAAAAGGATTGTTCAGTTGAAAACAAATCAAATTAAGTTAGATCTTTTCTATTTTCTTGCATGAAAAAAAATTAAGTCTGTGCAGGGTGAGGCCAAGCGACAATTTTTGTGGTTTAGTATTTTTTTCTAAATTTTATGGACTGTATTCTTTATGATCAGATGAGAACAGAGTTTTTCATCCTATTGTGTTTGTAATATTTTAGTACTTATTAATTGCTGATGTTCCTAGAAAAATGGCTTTGGATCTGAATCAAATTCCAGAGAACAAAAGGTCCAAGAGATTTCGTAGTAGAGTAAATATGACCCCTGCATAAGGATGTGTCTTTTTTTAAAGAAGTGTTGATCTATCATTTGTGACTTTCATGCGACTTTACTCTGAATTTAATGCTGTACCGAATGGTTTATTAAATAACTGAGAAACTATCTTAATATTATAGTCTATGACTCTTCTGAAAAATACCGAAATTGAAAGTTGCGAAATCAAGGGAAAGTTTAAGCAATTCAGCTAAAATATTCAGGAATGATTACTATCATTGTGTTGAACGTTTGCTAAAAGTTTCGCATGGATGTAACTTCAACTTCTGATTGAGCCGAATTGTCAAGAAGAGGTTCCAGGTCTTTTAATCATGACAAATAATATTTGAGTTTTCTTCGTTTTATCTTTTCAAAGTTTATTGTATCCTTTTGTTCAATATTCATTGATTAGTGAAAAAGGTTCTAAAACTTTAATTAAAGTTCCTAACGATATTTGATTTAACTATTCATTTCACTAGAAATAAATCAGATAAAAATCCTGATGGCGAGTCCCCTGTTCTTGCTTGTTTCGTTAGAAAGATATCAAGTGAAGAAGTTAACAAAACCAGAAAAATTGAGCAGAAATAATGTATAATAAATCCTATATTTTCGTCATTTTTTATCGACAACTCTATATTTTAGACAAACTTGATCCTTTAAGGATTCCTATTTTTTTAAAAATTCGCAATCGGAGGCCAGAACTTTCTGGCAAGCTTTTTCATCTTGAGGAACCAAAAAGATGGGCCGTGACCCAGTGAAAAATTTTGGCGATTTTCAATCGGATTTTTCTGCAACAAAATCAAAATTAAAATTGATTGATAATTTTGATTATTTTTGATCCTGACTTAGCTATTTTTTGATATTGTTTCTTATCCTGCATGAAATTTTCTGGTTGAAATCGGATTACTCGACGCAAAATCATGATTATCAATCGATTAATAATTTCGATTGACTGCAAAATAATTCGATTTTAATCAGAAACTTTCATACAGAATAAGAAACAATATCAAAAAATAGCTAAGTCAGGATCAAAAATAATCAAAATTATCAATCAATTTTAATTTTGATTTTGTTGCAGAAAAATCCGATTGAAAATCGCCAAAATTTTTCACTGGGGACTCACGGTCACGGCCTGGACTCACCGTGACCGTGACCGTGACAAAAAAGTTGGTCACGCCGGGGACTAGCATCCACACCCACACCCACACCCACTCATACCACATCCACATCTCACACCAACATCTATCCCCTATAGTTTATAGATGACTATTTTAAGCGAACTAATCATATAACAAAAGATGAGATTTTTGTATTTACCTAACGAAATAAACAGTATTTTGTATATCAGTGGTGTATAGCATTCGCACGTGCATCAAAAGCAAAGTATCGTTCTTGCGACTATTACTGCTGTTATAGCTTTATTTAGACAATAGTGCCTATTGACACATATGTATAATATTTAATTAGAGTTGCCACCTCAAAAAGTGTGAAAAAAACCAAAAACCTCTTTAAAAAAAATATGAAAAAAATCAAAAACCAAAAAAACACCGAAAACTAATATCGTTACTGGCGTCTAGCATTTCTAAGAATTTTAACGTGTTTTTCTATCTATGGATACGGCGTTTTATTTTTACAAAGTTTCAAAACATAAAAGAAAAACATGAAAGAAATAGAAACTTTATTCTACACGTTGTTTTACGAAGGAATAATTGTTATTAGCACTAATTGCTCTTGTTTTATATGAAAAAGCGGAAGAGAAACAAGCTTGTATGTAATGGATATTAATACCGTAGTCAATCAATACGGAATTTATTACACGAGTGTCAACACATTCATTTCTATGATTGAAAAAATCAATGCGTTTTGTATGGCGATAAGAAACCAAAACGGCATAGAATAGCAACAACTTCTTTAAAAAGAAAGCTAAATTTTACAATTATGTCGTAAAGAATATTGTGTTGTTTTTAAGAGAAGAAAATTCTCGATTCTGCACATTCATCGTTTAGTATTCACACTTTCTGTTAATTAATTGAATTGAGTACAATCATCAAAAATAGTAACAAAAAGAACAATATTAATAGAGTCATGAGGTACAATAGATTTTTGCAATTAAAAATTTTTGATCAGTAAAAAAGCAATGGTTTAAAGAAAATAGACACGAATGAAGACTAAAAATATTCTGTTTTTACAGTATAATTTGAACAATCAACTAGTTTTAATGAGATATGATGATGAATTGTTCCATATATGTGACATTTATTACTTAAATGATTATTATCTGTTGGACTTCTCTGAGAGGTATAATGCAAATTATATGCATATTTGTTATTTCATGTATATTTTGTAGATATAAGTATTTTTCGAGTATTCCTATTCTAATCAAAAAGAAGAACTTTAAGTCTGTCATACACGTAGATTGTACTGTAAAATCGATGAATAATTTTATGAACTTCTTTTAGATGACATCTACTTACAAGACTTTTTTAAGAGAAGGTCAATTACTGTGAAAAAAATAATCATTTCAATATGTACTTGCTTTATGAGCATCGACTCCATACTAAAATGAGAAAGAATCTGTTTTTTTTTGCATTGGGTTCTTGATTTTATTATCATTAGATTGAATGAAAAAATTGTGGATTTAATTTCAAAAAACCATATTCAAAAAAATAAGGACCTGCTAAAAGATTGTTTTCTTTGTTGAAGATAACGTAATTATTGCTTCGCAAGAGTTCGAAGAAACCATGAACCAAAGTGACATTTATTGGATGTAGTTCAACAAGAATTTGTCGTGGAAATAAACTCTTAGTCGAATTGAATAGAAGAGGAAAGAATGAATATTCACCACCTTCAATATCAATTTTAAGTATATCAATAGATCGATTTGTATGATTCAATCTTTGCACAATAGTCATCCAACTTTTTGAACCATTCGGTTCAATTCCAGTTCCGAACATGAGTTGATGAAAACTACATGCTTTATTCGGACATGAATATAGATTTTTATCGAATGTATGAATTTCACATTGAGGTATGGTTTTTTTCATGTCGATCTCGAATGTAAAATCACCACGTGATCCAACACTATAAATTAGACAATCATGACGGGCTTTCAATCGATGAACATCACAGACCCATTTGCCACCATCTCCCATAGCGCCCATACGTCGAGCATGTGAACAATGAAAATTCGGTTCCCAATTTGACAAAAAATAGATAGCATCTTTACGCTTCATCATATTTTCTTTATCTTGAATACGATAGATGTGTTTACGTTCATTCCAGGCAGCATTTGATTCACAAATAAGTCCATCACTTTCTAAGAGAGACTGCTGGCAATCACTACTATTTTGTGAAACAAACGATAGTGAAACAGTTGGCTGTAAAACAGTCGACTGTGAGCATGATTGATAAAACCATATTGATAGAATTGATAATAGAAATATGACTGCTAATTGCACAATTTGTGGAAACAAGAATGTAGACATTAGTTAAGACCAGTGAAAATTATGGAAGAGTTAAGTTCATGAATACCAATAATACATGACGTTGAAGATAAAAATGAACAATATTAGTGTTTATATTTTATGGATTAATTATCATCTGTCATTATTCTAGTAGGAATAGACAGAAAATACGTTAGCAATACAGTGAAAGTATATCATTGACATTACCACAAAAGATTAACAAGAAGACATTTTATTTATTTATTTTGAATGATTTGCTGGTATGGTTTGCGCACATTTTTTTGTCGAAGTATCCGTGCATGCTTTCATTACTACTGCTCTGTCTGTGTTTCACTGTTTGTTTTTCCTTTGGCAAACAAATTCTTTTTCTCTTTTACACTTACAGAACATTTTATGCTGAACAAGTAGAAACCGACGAATATTTAGAGCTATCTGGCACTTAACCGACGCCTATAGTGTACTGCTTGTAAAACATCAGATCAGATGAATGCTGACACCTAGACCTGATCATAAAATTCTTGTTTTTTCTTTAACCACTTGTTCGTACAACTGACATTCATCTTTGAAAAAACAAAATCAAGAAAAAATGTCGTTTCCAGAAAAAGAGTGGCAACAACTCGAAACCGAAATCTATACAAAAAAGTCTCACGGTAACTATCTCATTAGCTGATCTCGTCCGAATGTTTGTGTTGGTCGGCTATTGCGATGAAAGTAAATTGATTTTTTCGCAAACTTACTTTTTCAACACGAAGAAGCAGATGGATGAATTTCAAGCTTCACTATTCTCACGTTTGAATTGATTTATTGACTGGTAGAAGCCAGAAAAAAAACAACGAAAGAGAACGACATTGAAATATTGTCAATATAATTTAGTCAACATCGATCTTTTGAGTAATGTTTAGACATATAAGGTTTTATATTCAAGAGAACAGCATAATTGTTTAAAGAGATATTGGATGTGGGTGATGGCCTTCTCTGAGTCCTCCCTCACACCCAAACTCACCACCAAATTCACACCTACATCCACCCCAAAAAATACAGAAAAATTTTTGCATAATTTAGACCAAATTAAAATTTAATAAAGAGCTAAAACCCTTTGAATGGCGTTGGAAAAGTCAAGAAAAAAACAAAATGGGATTGGATTCTGGACAAAAATAAAAATGCTATTTATGACTAAAATCTTTTACAGACGCATGCTGAGGTTCTCTCCTATATTCAAATTCTGATTATTTACAGTTGAATGCTTGCGAAGCTTCTCATAAGCTTCGTCTAATATGCTTAGCATATCATTAATATAAGAAAAATTAAAATGAATTCTTTTTATATATCTAATAAAAGTTAAGATGAACCCAAAAAGATATATGTAATAATATATCGAAAGTATATTCGGATAGAGAATACGAGTTCAAGACTAATGTTTGACATGAGCATGAATTAATAAAATCATGTAGTGATCTCTGTTTCACTCTAGTTCCCTCTCGAACACCAATTTTCTTACTTCACTTACTCAAGAACTGCGGTACCCCACTAAGAAGAAATGAAATAAAATCAATTTGTTTTTATACAATTAAATACCTAACAAAACTTTTTTTTGAATCTTAAGTTTAATTGCAAAATTCTCAGAAAGATGTGAATGTGTGGATCTTCACTTGATTAGTATTCATCTACTCATCTACATAAACATTCGTATCTATGGTAGAAGAAAAACAACCGTTTACTTTTTTTGTCTATTGATCGGGTACTTATGTAAACAGATGAAGGCAAACTCTTGTTTAATCATTTTAAGAAAAAAATTCAATGATGTTTAAATGGCTATGTGCATTTTCTTTACATTCACTATCACTAAATCAACACACGAAATTCCACAAACATACAATACCTGTCGAAATCCGCTACTCAAAATGTCAACGTATGAAAATCTTCAAGAAGCAAAAAATAGAAACAAACCAATACAAATGTTTTGCATATCGAGGGTGCGAGTTTGGATGTGGGTGTGAGGAGGACTCAGAGAAAATCCTCATTCGCATCCACTCTTAAGCACTGAAAAAAAAAGAACATTTTGTTTTTTTTTTGCTATTTACATCTGCTGCGAATTGAACTGATGAATGTTTTTAACGATAATTTTGCCGTAGTTGAACAACATATTTCGAATCAATTTGCCCAAAACATTCATTTAAATATTTTCGAGTACCATATTTAAGCCATTCGTATTCAAAATCACTTTCACGAATTTAATTTCAGCATCTTTTTCCTATGGTAAACCTGTTTCTTCTAAACTCAACTCACACATATTCATATCATCAACACTTGCAACAAGAAGTTCTGGTTTTTTATGTGAACAGATTTTTATTTGACGAGCAATCTATTACATTATGAAGTCGAAAAAGATTGATAAAGAATCTTAAGGCCTTCTACCCTCAAAAATCGATCATTGGTCAGGTATATAAAAATAGCATGAAATTTTCAGCCCTTTTTCAGTACTGTCTCGAAAGGTATTCAACAAAAAAGGGTTCAAAGTAGTTCATATAACAACCAGAAAATCTCTGCCAATTCCTCTTTTATATATTTATATATTTGTTTATTTTTTTGCAAGAGCATATCTGAATACAGTGCTCGACAGAATCTGTTCTTACATCTTGCGAGGATAAAAGTGATAACAGGTTCAATGCCTCCAAAAACTCTCACAAAATGTTCATCTATTTATAAAAGTCCTACTTAATACAATATCAAAAACGTTAATTAACCAAGGTTAGATCAGACAATGTAGCTTCCATACTCTTTTAAACAAAAGTAAACAATCAATAGGCTTAATGAAGTTCTTTCAAGAGTTGTGGAAGGTACGATTAATCAAACATTAACAGAGAAAAAAAGAAAAAAATGTTCTGCTTTTTATGAAAAAGTTGTTGTCCCAATCTCTATTGGACTAAAATGCGAGGAACGATGTAGCTGTTATTGCTGATCACAAGGAAATTGTCTTGTTCGAAACTCTTTACCCAATCCTCTAGAATTGTAATATTGACGTAGTTAATATATTCTAATGAGATCTTATTGATATACGGTCTTTAATTGAATATCAACATGGTCTGTCCCAGTCTGTAATAAGGAAGTAGGTGCTGCAAATTTCTACCCTATATTGTTCAACCCTCCTTTCGGAGACAAACACAAATACATTTAAAAATTTGAAAACGATTTTTGAAATGCTTTAGAAAAATTTATCTCATCATTCTGAGCAATTTTTTTGTTGTGAGCACTTCAAAATTCTTAATGAATCTGCTAAAACTTGACTTTTAATGTGCCGACCAAAATCTGCTAAAATTATAGATTTATCCTAGTGAGAGTGCGGGTGTGAATGTCAGAAGGTATAAACGAAGAGAACCTACACCCACACAGTCAGGTAATAATATTCTGCATTTAAAATAACGATGCAAATGTAGTTCTGCGAGCTCCAAACGAAGAAATGAAAGTAACAGTGTTCATGGATAAGTCTCCCACTAAAAACACGTTGCTCTAGATAATTAGACTCAATTTCAAGGCCTTCTCTCGACAGAAGAGTTTTTTGATTGACTTTTCTTTATATTTGATTTTGCTTGCAATGTTTTTCTCTTTCTTGTTGAAAGAATGGCCTGGTTGAACCAATGATTGATAGAAGGAGTCGTTAGTTAAAGCAAACAGCTTCAAAAGCCATCGCGTTTTTACTTTCACCATCACACCATCAAACACTCGAGAACACAAAAAATGCCATTAACAGCGAAGCAACATGTCAGTTTCATAAATGTGTATTTGAAAGAGAGTGATGGATCCAGCTTCCCCCAATTCACAGCGTCGATTTTTTTCAGTTGGCCAGACTTATGTAAGATATTCATCATTGCAGTATCTAACAAAGCTAGAGATTATTTCTCAGGATCAAATGACATCGAACATGAGAGCTGAGACCGCCCATGGTAAAGAAACGAAAAACACATTACAACACGTACCATCAATAAAAACTCGGTAATAGATATTATGTGCAACTTTATGCCATCATAGGAAGCACTTACTATTTGTCTATCTACAGGCAAGGATCATGGTGTAGCTGGCAGAAGGTTATGGTCATTGTATGTATCGCCCATGGTATCATCCTTTTGGTCGCTGTGATCGTCATTCCAATATATATTGTTCGCCTTCTCGCGTCAGGTTCGCAATGTTTGTTCTTCCTTGTGTATCAGATTTCAATTTTAGATTACCTGACTAGAGCAGATAGTACCACCCTTTTGAATGTGAGATTCAAGTCAAACGAACGAATGTTTGATTACTCAATGAATGGTGGAAAACGAGTTGGCTAGTATTATCTTTCGCTCTATCTATCCATTGATAATTGATGCACGTAGAGCAGCTAGAATATAAACTATTGACTGTTCTGCAACGAGCGAATGTGTTTTTTTTACTAAGAGGCGTACATACACTTTCCGAACTTCGAACAGTCTTGCTTTGAAACCTCAATATGCCTGTAGTGCCAGTGCTTCGTTAAAAAAAGCACCGACCACTTACTTTTCAGAATAGCGTTGAAAGTATGATTGGGGAAAGAGGATGAATTGAGTTGATAAAGCCGATTGACAGAAATCTGTTATGCTTGTATGGCCAGCAGAGTCGATGCATCAGTAGACAAAAAGAAAGAGAACAGATCGCAAAAGTGTTCATATATTGTTTGTGGCATCAAAATCTTGATTTTGCTAGGTTTCGCGATACTTTCAAGATGATCCGACTCAAGAGCTGAAAGCTTGCGCCTTTTTCTTGCAAATATTTGTTTCATCCGAAATATTCGTTGAGCTTTGAAATATTTGAAAGTGACAGCTTTTCGTAATGAGCCGAATCGCTTCTTAATGGCTAGATGGTTTGAACTGTAAAGGGGAGCAATAGTTTTCTATCGAGAAGTCATTGCTTAAGCAGAAAGCCGGGTAAAACGTTTTGAAAAATGACGATGAAAAATATTTCTCTCAAATGCTCGATGCAAAAACTCGACATTTTCCGGCTCACAAATGATC